CCATATCAATCAAAGTGATCAGGACAGTTCTTCGTTTGGGGCTCCCTGCTCAGGTGATTCTAATTTGTGGCAAGGTGACATTAAAATCAACCATGATAGATAAGAAATGTCCCCTCACAGCTCGGATGTTGAGGGTTGGTCCCCAGTATAGCAGGTTTCAGGGGTGAAGACTTTGGGAGTGTATTGGATCGTGAGGACTCTGACTTCATCAATGAACTAATTCGTCAGTAGAGTCATAGTTTAATGGACTATCTGGAGGATATGGAAACTTTAGGATGTGGAGCCTAGTTAAAGAAGTAGGTCCCTGGGGGCATGTCCTCGAAGAGTATTGTGTCCCTTGTTCTTTCTTCTTTCTCTGTCCCTTCCTGCCCCACCCCTTCTCTTTCTGCTTCCTAGGCCCTACCCAGCACTTGGGGTCAAAGAACAAAGTTAGAAGGGATGGTTAGAATCCTTGCAGATCCACAGTGTATAGTCCCCAGAACCTACCCACTTCCTAACATGGATCTTTACTCTCCTGATGATTCTGTGGGCATTGATGTCCTTTCCATAGGTCCCATTTCCATGTGGGATACTGTACTGGATTCTGTTACTTGCAAGGGAGAATACTGAATGCCAGACAGTTTTCCCTGATGGGTCTAGAGATACTTCAGGGGTGTTGGAATGGCAGAAGTTCTAGCACAGTTGGAGACAGTGGGCTGGGAAAGGTATGTGGTATCTAGAACCTCCTTTACTGCCTGATGGATGGGTAACATGTGGTTCATTGGGACAAATTAATATTATCAGCTCCTTAGGGTAGTGGAGGCTCATGCCTTTAATCCCAGCACTCTGGGAGGCAGAGGCAGGTGAATTTCTGTGATTTCAAAGCCAGCCTGGACTACAGAGCAAGTTTCAGGACAGCCAGGACTGTTACACAAAGAAACCCTGTCACGAAAACCAATTATCAGCGCCAGGTAGCTGCTTATATATTTGCTTGGGAAAATATTCATTTGCTTAATAAATGCTTCAAGGCTACTGCATCTCTTGTGTGGCCATAAGATCTCAGAGCTAGCCACAAAGATCATATAGTTTAACTGCATCATCCAACCAATGCAAACAGAAACAGTTCATCTTGGAGACTCTCTAGGAAATAAAGACGCTGCCTCTAATGCCCCTTTCTGATACTTGTGCTGTGAACTTAACACAGTCATAGTTCTCCACAGGTCTTCATTTAAAGCACTTCAGAGGTTGCTAAAACCACTCCCAAGCCTTCTCTTCCAGAGAAGACACCTAGAATTGGAAGCAAATTCCTCCTCCTCCCAGTGCTAGAGATCAAACTCAGGGCCTTGTGTACGTAGGGTTCACTCTACCACTAGACTATGCTGGTGAAAGCTGGGCATTGACATCAAGTGTCTTCTTATACTAGCTAGGTTTCTATTGCTGTGAATACCATGACCAAAAGCAACTTGAGGAACAAAGGGTTCATTTCACCTTACAGGCTGTAGCCCTTCATGAAAGGAAGTCAGGGAAGGAACTCAGAGCAAGAACCTGGAGGCAGGGAACTTACTGACTTGCTCCTCATGGGATTTCTCAGTCTGCTTTCTTATACAACTCAGGACCAGTGGCACCCCTCACAGTGAGTGGAACACTCTTATCACATGGAGGAAGTCCTATAGTCAACCTCTAGCTGGGCAAAACAGAAGCACAGACAAATCAAAATAAACAAAAATACCAGAGTCTGGAAGAGCCTGCAGGCTCTGGTTTGCAGACACTGCATCATATTGCTGGAGACCTAATCTGCATGCTGTGTTCCTTGTCATCTTAAGTCCTTGTAAGTGGGCTTATTTTAGACCTGGACACTCCATCCATGCTTCACCTGGCCCACTCAGGCTCTGCCTTTTTCTTGGGACAGACTAGGAATGTGGCCGTCTGGAGCCCATTCATTTCCCCCTTGTAAAACATGGTCTTGATACTCTAGAGCAGTGGTTCACAACCTTCCTAATGCTGCAACCCTTTAGTACAGTTCTTCATGTTGTGGTGACCCCCCGCATAAAATTAGTTTCATTGCTACTTCATAACTGTGATTTTGCTATTGTTATGAATCATAACGGAAATATTTGTGTTTTCCAATAGTTTTAGGTTACCCCTGTAAAGGGGCGTTCTAACCCAAAAGGGTGGCTAACCAAAAGTTGAGAACCAGTACTCTAGACTTTGGGATTCCCTACACAAATAGCCCTCAGTCTGCTTCCTAGGCCTGTGGGGACCTCTGAGATCCTAAACTGCTGCCCTCAGCAGGCATCTTTAGGCCTGAAGGACAGCCTACTGGTGACTGTTAGCGCCCTGGACTGTTTCCTGACCAGTGAGGTGTGGCCTCTTTGCAGTGGGATATCTAGGATGGGACCAAGGGCACGATTGCCTGCCAGGGTACTGGCTAGACAGTGATATTAACAAGAGTCTTATGTCAGGTTGCTGATGAACTGTTAGCCCTGGGCCAGGTTCTCCCTAAGAAAATGCATGCTGTGTGTTATTGATCCTGACACCAACTCCCAGGATCTTTACAGAGGAGGGCACTAAGGCACGGAGAAGGGAGGTCGAATTGCTCAAGGCTAATGAGTCGCTACAATCAATCTGCAAACAGCAGGTTGGGGCAGCGACCTAGCACTGTATGTGGGAGCTCCTACCCCCATCCCTGGATAGCCAGCTGGAATCACAGTAGTTGTGGGTACAC